CTTGAGTAAAAAATGATATAAGTAGATTCACTCCTTATTTGATTTAGGATTATGCAGTTTTGTGTTTAGACATAAGGTTTTTTAGAAGCATAAGTTTATAGTAAGTTCATTATGAATTCATTATAAGTTCCAACACTTATCTAGGAGTTATGTAGGTGATTTATAACACTGTTTTCACAGACTTAGGATAAAGATTAATCGTTAAGGTTTTTACTTAATTCTATAGTTAAAATTTTAAGTAAACATTTATAGAGTGGGTTTTCACTGAATTCATAATATAGTAATTAGATACTTTTATGATAATTAACTAAATACAGAAAACAACCTTGGGGACCTGGGAAACATCACTAAAAGCTTCTTTTGAGTTCTCTTTAGAAATAAACACTGCAGGATAAGAGAAAAGTAACGAAGACACCTGGACAAGAAAGGCGATTACAAAGCTTTGAAGGTCATAGAAGCCCCAGAAGGAGAACTACTGCTACATGAAGAACTTTGCACTTGGAAACTTTCTGGAGACAGTTCAAGGACTGTAATTCGGGACTTTGGACTAAAACTATTTGACTTTATGAATAAGACTCATTGTCTGAATGTTTATAGGGTTCTTGGCTTGTTGGTCGCTTCTAGACCGCTAGATGGTGGTAACTTTTAAAGCATATGTACGTGAAGGAATTTTCTTTGTCTTGCCCCTTTACAAATGGTATAAAAGCCTTCCCTTAGCTAACATTAAATGTCATCTGTTCAGGAAGCAGGTGTCTGAGTATAATGTTTTCGTCTTTCGCCTATTCGTTTCTCCTTCAGGAAAGCCCACGACCCTTGCGGGGCTGGACCCCTGCACCCTTGTCCCCTGTTCTGTCACCCTCTGGGACCCCAACCTTTCCAGGACTGGCTCTGTGACCTGCGTTTTCAGCACTCAGTGCAGGCCGGCACACAGCGCAAGAATTCATCCCAAAGGCGCAAATGAAGAAGCGGTGTGTGTGTGGCTAGAAACATGAAGGGACCAGGGGCTCAGCTTCAGCTCAGAGCCAGCCCTGAACAAACAGACCCCCACACCCTGCCTGAGCCCAGGCAACTGTGGGGCCCCGGCAAGAGGTCCCTCCTCTACTCCTCTCAGGAGCCCACAGCCCAGGCATGGAGCACAAGGCCTGGCCTTGGCATGGACCACCCAAGAGCCCTGGAAGCCCCTCAGCCACGTGCAGAGGAGAGAGTGTGGCTGACTGGGGCAGGCTGATGCTCACAGGGCATGAGGCAGGGACTCCATGAAGGAGGGTGAGGGAGGGGGGAGGGAGGGAAGAAAGGGAAGGAAGGAGAAAGGAGAGGGGAGAGGAGGAGGAGGGGGAGGAGGAA